GCAAGGGGGCGACACACCACCCTCCTTCCTGCTCGCGCAGTCACCGTGTGACCGCCTCCCAGCCGTGCCGCAGGGCGCCCCATTCTTAGCTTAGAAGCGCTCTAGGACAGGGATTGTCTGGCCCGACCGGGGACTGCAACCCTTCCCACAATGCACAGCGCAAGGCTCGTTTCAATATCGCTATGACGTACAGGGCTCGCTTGCACGGGACTGCTGGGCATGCGGAGTCACGGCTGCTCCCCCGCCCCCAACACCTCCACAAACGCCCCCTCCTTCCCCCACCCATCTCTTTCCACGCCCCTTAACACACAGCTCTTCTTCCACCGCCTCCCCAGTCGCTCCGTTGCTACGGTAACTAACCCTCCCTTCTTCACTCTGTCATCAGATTCGGGCTCCGCCTCCTCCTGCCCCCCCGGGAACTGTCCAGCGGCTCTCTCCAATCAGCTTGCGGCTGGACTGAGGAGGCGGGCCCCGCTGGTTGCCTGGGTGACGGGTTGGTTGGTTTCACCCCCAGCCGAGGGGACAGTGGCGGTGCGGGCAGCGGGCAGGTAGGAGCTGCGGCCGGTTGGGGAGCGACTGCTGGGTGACCGCTGGGGCGGGGCTCGCACTTGCCGCCGGTAGATGTGCGGGCTGGGGCTGGAGGGCTGCCCTGCACCCAGGGGGTGGGCCGGGCCTGGGAGGTGGCGGCGGCTCGGGGTGTCAGTGCCTGTCGGGGGTTTGTGTTTCACATCAGCCGCCTCGGAGGAGCCTGAGAGCGCTTCCTTCGCCTCCGCTCCCCTCCCCAGCGCCGGGGGAGGGCGGCCCGGGGGAACGGTCTCTGATTGGCAGCTTGTCCCAGTCACACAGAGACGCAGAATTGTTCTCTTATCATCAATAAACTTTCTTGGGGGACTTTGTGTTCCCCCCCGTGGGAGCTGCAGGGCGAGAGGGCGGCCGGGAGAAGGGCCTGGCTTCAGAGATACTTGCTGGGTTTGCAGAGAAAGGATGGAGGTTCGCTTCTTTACCGGTGAAATCCTGTCTCCCCGCTAGGCAATGGCAGAACTGGAAAAACTGCTGAATGAAAGTCAAACACATTCACAAAGATAAACTTGAAAACAAGTCTAAGCCAAAATAAACTTTGCAGACATAAGGGTATAAGAATTGCCATACTTCATGGGACCAATCGTCTGTCTAGCCCATTATCCTGTCTTTGACAGTGGCTGTTGCCAGAGGTTGGGGGAGTGAACAGAACAGGGCAATTTTGAAGAGAGCCACCTGTCTTCTGCCCCTGGTTTCTGGCAGTCAGTGCTTCAGGGTCACCCTGAGCATAGGATTACAGCCATGAACTTCTTGGCTAATAGCCATTGATGGACCTCTCTTCCATGAATTTATCTAGTTCTTTTTTAAACCCAGTTATACTTCTGGCCATCACAACATCCCATAACAATGAGTTCCACAGGTTTTTTGTGCATTATATGAAAAAATACTTCATGGTGTAGCTGCACAATGGATTTATATAGTGTTATCATGTTTCTGTTGTACTTTCTACTCCTTTCCTTGTTAGCCTTTTTTGATGGCTGCTGCGCATTGAGCCGAAGTTCTCAGAGAACTATCTGTGATGACTCCAAAGACTCTTTCTTGTAATTTATAATCCATCATTATAAATGTAGTTGGGAGTATTTTTCCAAGGTGCATTACTTTGTACTTGTCAGTGTTAAATTTCATCTGCCATTTTGTTGCCCAGTCACCCAGTTTTTTGAGATCCCTTTCATAGAATCATAGAACTGGAAGGGACCTTGAGAGCTCATCTTGTCTAGTCCCCTGCACTCAAAGCAGGACTAAGTATTATCCAGACCATCCCTGATAGGTGTTTGTCCAACCTGCTCTTAAAAATCCCCAATGATGGAGATTCCACAACCTCCCTAGGCAATTTATTCCAGTGCTTAACCACTCTGACAGTTAGGAAGTTTTTCCTAATGTCCAACCTAAACCACCCTTACTGCAATTTAAGCCCATTGCTTCTTGTCCTATAATCAGAGGTTAAGAAGAATTATTTCTCCCCCTCCTCCTTGTAACTGCCTTTTAAGTACTTGAAAACTGTTACCATGTCCCCTCTCAGTAGGGTGACCAGACGTCCCGATATTAGGGGACTTATCCCCCGTCCCGACCTTACATTGATCCGGATGTCTGGTCACCCTATATGAGGGGGACCGCGGCAAGCCGGCACCGCCCACCTCCCAGGTTTTTCCAATAAGGCCACTCACCTTTCCTCCCTGGGCCTTGGGGCAGCGTGCAGCTGAGCTCCTGGCGCGGCGGCACCAGCCTACGGGGCCCGCGGCCCGGCCGGCAGGAGCTTGCAGAGCGCAGCCCTACCCCTGACCTGGGCACACAGAGAGGCAGCGAGGAGGTCTCGCTGCGTGCTGCAGCGGGGCGTGGCTTGTAGACTCCGGCAGTGGGCGCCGGGCAGAGAGCCCCCCCCGCCACCCTCGACCCGCCCTGCCCCTAGGAAGGAGCCAGAGGGACTGGGAGGGACTTGCCTGCTGGATGCTTCCTGGGAGCTGCTCCAGGTAAGCACTGCTGGGCTCACCTGGCCCCCTGGCAGGTCCCTCTGGGGGGGTTCCCCTCGGACCCACTGCCCTCAGCCCCCACCCTGACCTTGTTCCCTCAGCCTCCCCCGCATTTTCCCACCTGTGCCCCCCACCCTCAATCCACTGCCCTCAGCCCCCCTGACCCTGTTCCCTCTGCCTCCCCCACAGTCTTTCCCCCCCCCCCCGACTCATCTCACCCTGCATAGATGTGGAAATCTGTCTCGGATTCCAGGCTGTCGTTAGCCCCTGGGGCAAAAGATCAGCAGAGGTTTCCAAAGGGAAGTTTGCAGCCTTTGCTCAGACCGAAACATTTTCACTTAAAAAAAAATACCCAAACCCATCCTGACACCCATCTGCTCTGTCCAGTTTTGCTGTTATCCCTGTTGAGGCCAAAGTGCTTTGAAAAATTAAAAATCCATGACACCATTGTGTTGCTTCCCCCTGTGTTGCTTGTTAATCTGATGGACCTGCCAATAATGAATAAAGATGAATGCCCTGGAAGCAATGTGTCAGGCAGACAGTTTGTCAAGTAGGAAAGTGAATGCTGAAGCCCTCACAAAATGCAGAGGCTTTTCTTAACCTGAGAACTGAAAAAGAGCTAGATACCCTGCATGGGTTTGAAAGTGACAAGAGCCTAGCGACTGACCAGAGCAGCGCCAGGTTTGAAGTGACAAGGAGGGTCTGTGTCATGAAGTCTGCATTTCCACTGAGGACTCTTCCTTCGCCAGGGTAGTGCTGGTGCAGGTCTGCCGCCTGGCACAGCAATGCTGAGAGGTGCCAGTGTAGACCCGACCCACTGCCCTCAGCCCCCACCCTGAGCCTGTTCCCTCAGCCTCCCACACAATCCCCCCTGTACCTCCCACCCCGAACCCACTGCCCTCAGTCCCTGCCCCCGTTCCAACAGCCTCCCCCACAGTCCCCCTGCTCCCTCCAACCCACTGCTCTCAGCCTTCCCCTACCCCAAATCTCTTCTTCAGCCTCCCCTGTCATCCCACCCCCATCGCTCCCCTTGCTGTCCCACCCCCTCACCTTCCCCCCATCCAGTCGTGCTCCCCTCTCTCATCCCCTCCAGACCCTGTCCCTCTCCCCAACC